AAGCATCACTCCTAAATATTGAAATGGACATCCATCCAATACGACACACAAATTAAATTCTATTATGTGATTAAGATCGATCCTAAAAAGACCCATCCCAATATTTGATTCATGTATACGAATAAATATGTTTTCGAAATACTATATAAAAGGAGATTTTTTCGAGAGAACATAGTTACATACTTGAGAAATACAAATTGTGACCCAAAAAATAAAAAAACTAAGAACCACGTATCTGTCTTGTTTAGAAATTTCAAGCTGGCAACAACAAGGAATTTTCAAAATGTTCAGTGATTTGTTAGTTACTTACATTAACTGTATTGACAAATTCTTAATTGACTATAAATGATTCTATTCTCGTTATTTGTATATCATGTCACAAAGTTTTCTCCTCACGTTTTCCTCTCTTATAAACAAGCAAATACTTTATGTTTTAGTATAAATAATCTAAAAAACATCACTTTCTATAATTTTGTTTTGACTATCGAATTCCAACAACCATCCACTTTCTAAAAACATCTCTCGACACACGGATTCATATACCACTAGGCCAATATCCGCGCATACGCGCGGGTTTCATTTCCCATACATTTGTTTTACAAATCTCAACTGTTAGATGTTTTTAAAAAATACAGTGAGGAAACATATCGAATGAGTAATTATTTATATGTTTTTGCAAAGTAAATTTATGTATAACACGAAGTTATATATAATGGTCTTGGAAAGAAAGAACCACACTAAATAGTAAGAGACAATTGCTCATCACACGACACTAATGAATTTTGATACAAAATCTGTAGAATTATACACGAAGGTTGCTTGTTTTTATTCGCATAGCATCACTGAAGATTTGGTGGAGTACGAAGAACATTGACTTGATGCTCCTTAGTCCCTAGAAGATTGTTTCAACTTTGATTACTTGTCAAATTGAACCAAACTACACCAAAGTACTCACAGAAAGACGCCATAGATATGATCCTAAGTGAACGTCACTGAAACTATGTGTGCAGACTGCAATGAATGATTTCAAAGAATGTTTTATCCAAAATCGATTTGAAAGAATGATTCCCCTTGTTTTGCCTTCAAGAGCGCTACTGTTGCTAGTTGCTATATATTGGATTGAATGTGTATTATAATTTGCCTTGACGCTCTTTTTTTTTTGTTTTTGATCAAGTGGAAGAACCAAATGAGTGTCACAACTTTGTGGAACATGTTGGGATATTCTTAATGTTACAATAAGTAAGTACAATAATCTTGCAAGTGCAAATTTCAACGACCTTGTATAGGTCCGCTTTGAGTTCCAAAGGCTTTCGGTTATTGCCTTCAACACCACTTAACTAAACCAGATTCAACGTTTAATGGGATTGTTACTCAAGGTGCTTGCTTCACATTGGTCTTCCAGTTCATGATTCTCGGACTCGTCAAATGGACAAAACAATTAGTTTGCATTACCGGCTTCCCGTGCAGGATCCAGGTTCCAACTGAATCTTCATGAAGAGTTAACTCATGCCTTTATACAATCAAATGCTGTAAGTTTGCTTGCTTTCCATAAAGACCAAATATGTACCATTACAACACTCCCTTACAAGCTATCAATCAAAGCATCAATGATCAAACAAGAAGTTAAAAATGGAAGAAACAAAATAAACTTAAATTCGCTTAACAATTTTCTAAAAACAAGCATAACCAAACAAAACAAGATTTTTGCAAACGAACGAAAAAATGTGCGAAGTCGAACAACAAAGATTTAATCGGAAACGTAATACCCCG